GTTTATAAGTAAAACCCTGATCGTAAATTAATGTTACTATATATATGAATCATTGTTTATAATGGTAAAGATGAGTATAAATAATAGCATAAAAGTGGCACTAAAGTGGCCCTACCGCGTTTTGATGTTTATTGTATTCTTATATTTGATTGTAAAGTATAAACACTTTAATATTTTTGTGATAAATTGTACGCAAAATACTGTTTGTATTATTTTATAAATGTTTATTTTCTTTCGTCACAGTTATAAAGACATTAATGAATTATTTTTTAAAATGTTAAGCAATTTATATCTATTAAACACTTATTAAATAAACTAACAATTTATAATTTAATCAAATATAAACTAAATTGCATTACAAAACGCTATGTTTAAACACAACACATCAGACGCTGTAATAAATATTTTTAAAAAACTTTACTACAAATAAATAAAACTATGTTTTGAACTAAATTTTAATGGAAAATAAATATTTTGTTTAATCTATTTAAAACTAAACTAGATTAAAAACCAAAGATAAAAAATACCTAAAAAATAGACACAACTTTATTAAACAATAGCCAACGTTATTAATAAACACACCATTAATAACGTATACAACAAACACCGCACAAAACTCCCCATAAATAACACAAACTAATCATACAATCAGTTCCCATAGAAAATACACAAAAGGGGTACAAAAAACATAGACTAAAAGCGCACGTAATTTACGTACAAATGAGTGACACATAAAGCAATACAACAGACCATTGAATATTAATAACACAACAGGAGTTGACTCAACACAACCACAACAACAACAACACAGACACTGACCTCAAGACCTAACATGAAGTCCAACTCCGGAACCGTTGGCAGTAATGGTGGCCAACGGGTGGACACATTCGCGGAACTCGTGGCCACTCTATACGCGACCCGATTGGCGGTTATGGCCAGCGATGGCACACAAAGACACTGTCGACAGGCGTTGGACACTACCATCGATCGGGTGCTCAACCACTTCGGACACGTGCGCCGACTCTCACGTGAGTATATCAGCAGCTGATCCAGTGATGGCCACAGCAATAGCTAACACATGCCAACACTACCTGTTTATCACTTACCACATCCACTATCACTAACACTTGTTCCCCTCTCCCTTTACATGTTTACCACCGATTTCTGCACTGATATCTACTACTGATGTCTGCCATTGATGTCTTCAGTGGCCCTGAAGGACAACTCGGCGAACAACGCGCACCTCATCCATGAGCTGCGGCTTCAGTTCAGTGATGGCCAGTCTCTGAAACACCGGCCAACTCAGGCGCAGCTCAAGAAACTGCAGTTTGATTTAATCGCTGCGATGGCGCCCGACATCACCACCACATCCGATGACAACGACACCGATGACGACAACTGTCCCACACCTACCGACACCCCCACTCCCTCCACCGCCAACACTAACCCTGTGTACAGTCACCCCTCTGTGTCCCCCACGCCGTGGTTTGATAAGTGGAAACACATGTTTATCGAGACCTATGAACAGTCGGACCACGACTTTATCGGCGCCCACTTTGGCTGCTTCTTCGTCATCACTGATCACGAGTTGGAGAGCTATAAGGATATTATCGCCTCATTTATCACACAGGTATA